TTTTTAGTAGAGACGGGGTTTCACCATTTTGGCCAGGATGGTCTCGATCTCCTGACCTCGTGATCTGCCTGCCTCAGCCTCCCAAAATGTTGGGATGGATTACTGGCGTGAGCCACCAGGCCTGGCCCAATGTTTGATTTCTGAGGCTCAACAAAAGCCGACTTTCACATTTAAGTCCATTTTGTGAAGATACTTCATGAATATGTTGGACTTATTTTAATGACTCAAGTGACTCAAGTGTTTAAAAAAAAAAATCATGATGAAATGAAATCCCTCTCACGCTGGCTTTCTAAAACTTGGAAAAATAGAAAAGTATAAATTTAAATCAAGTCTAAAAATGATCCAAACATATAATTATAAAGAATTAACGTTTTTAGGCTGGGTGCGGTGGCTCACGCCTGTAATTCCAGCACTTTGGAAGGCTGAGGTAGGCGGATCACCTGAGGTCAGGGGTTCGAGAGCAGCCTGGACAACATAGAGAAACCCCGTCTCTACTAAAAATACAAAAATTAGCTGGGCATGGTAGTGGGCACCTGTAATCCCAGCTACTCGGGAGGCTGAGGCAGGAGAACTGCTTGAACCCAGGAGGCGGAGGTAGCAATGAGCCGAGATCGTGCCATTGTACTCCAACCTGGGTGACAGAGCAAGACTCTGTCTCAAAAAAAAAAAAAAAAGAATTAACATTTTAAAAATATCTACTTTGCTGTATCTCTTGACGATTCTCTTGGCGTAAACTAAGCCTCTTTCCTCCTCTGTTCCCCTTTTTAAAGAAATTAACTGCTATACATGTAACAGATATCAGTTGGCTGTTAACCTAGAGATGGCAACATCATATTTGAAAAAAAGACCTTATCTATAATTGATGGCACCTAATGAAAAAATAGGTGCCATGGGGATGTAATCAACTGAGAGATTCTATGCAGTGGAAGTCATGAAGTCTGAAGTCTTGTGAGAATTACATTCTTTAATTTAAAGTATGTAATCGGCTGGGCACGCCTGTAATCCCAGCACTTTGGGAAGCCAAGGCGGGTAGAGCGCCTGAGCTCAGGAGTTCGAGACCAGCTTGGGCAACATGGCAAAACCATGTCTCTACCAAAAATACAAAAAATTAGTTGGCTGTGGTGCCACACACCTGTGGTCCCAGGTACTTGGCGGGCTGAGGTTGGAGAATCGCTTGAGCCTGGGAGGTGGAGGTTGCAGTGAGCCACTGCAGTCCCACCTGGGTGATAGAGTAAGACAGTGCCTCAAGAAAACAAAAAACCAAAATCAAAAAGTATGGAATTATGAGAAATGAAGCCTTATTTCCATCCAAAACAAAGTTATTAGGCTGTCTACTAAAGTATTTTGGTGTAATTGCTCTTTCCTCTAATGACACTCACCGTTAAAATATCTCGTTTGACTGTATTTCTGATTACTGACTGGCTATTCAAGAACTTGCAAAATTTTCTATCACAACACCAATGACCTCAGGCTAATCAGTCAATCTCTCAGTGTGAGAACAAAGGGAGTTTCTTAAATATCTAACTGAAAGTATTCCATAAGTACACTACATAAAAATCAGGAAAAGGTCAATTTTAAAAAGTAATTTTTAAAACCCAGTTTGAATCAATATCTGATGCAATAAATACAGGAAATGAAGTTTATTATACAATTTCTACATTACTCTTTCTCCTAAAAGTCCTCTGAGATAATTAAAAATGAACATTTTGCAGTTCCACCAAGCTGCCATGGTCAACTGAAAAGGAAAAAATATTTTTGTTGTTGTTGTTCCTGCAAAAATATGACCCAGTCACTGAAAATAATTCAAACCATTTCCAGTCACTAAGAACTTTCTCTGAAACTCATGATGGTAAAAACTATGACACATTTCTCGGCCCTCTTCAACTTTTTATTTTTTTTTTTATTTTTTTTTTTTTTTTTGAGACGGAGTCTCGCTCTGTCGCCCAGGCTGGAGTGCAGTGGCCGGATCTCAGCTCACTGCAAGCTCCGCCTCCCGGGTTTACGCCATTCTCCTGCCTCAGCCTCCCGAGTAGCTGGGACTACAGGCGCCCGCCACCTCGCCCGGCTAGTTTTTTTGTATTTTTAGTAGAGACGGGGTTTCACCATGTTAGCCAGGATGGTCTCGATCTCCTGACCTTGTGATCCGCCCGTCTCGGCCTCCCAAAGTGCTGGGATTACAGGCTTGAGCCACCGCGCCCGGCCTCTTCAACTTTTTAAAATATCCTTGTTACAGATGTGAATGAAATGGTTGAATATGGTTAGAAGCTAGAGAGCTACAGTAGCACCAAACATAAAAGGAACCCAACAATCATATTTGTGTGGCAAATCTACTTTGGTTAGGCAGTGAAAAGACCAGCTGCAGTTTCCTCTTCCTTGTTCCCAGAGATACCCAATAGTTACTCTTCTGTATTTTTTTCTTAGATGTTTCTGGTTACTGAATTCAGTGGCACAACACAGCAATTGAACTAAAAAATGAAAATTGTATAAAACTTCCCATCCAAAGGCTAAATATATCCACCTTTTCAGATTGTTGGGCTTGCATCTGTTCTATCATTTTGGATTCACTTTTGTATTGGGGCTCGTGCATTGACTGCATACTTAGAATGTTAATCTGATAGCATTAATAAATGTCATTTAGCCATACAAATTCCACTTTTACCAAGAATCAGCACATGAACAATCATTTGAACAATGTAAGTGTAATCTAAATGTATCAACATACATACACACAAACACACACCAGTCGCTCCTAGCAATCAGTTTGAAAATGTGTAAATGGTAAACCATTGTGAGAACTATTCTCTTCTGTTGCCCTAGAAATGCTGAATGATGCTTTTTGAAAATTCCTACTTCAGCAGATTAAATGAAAAACCACCTAGTAAGGACTATCATAAAATAATGTGACCAAGAAAATCACAAAATTGTGAGTCCCCTGAGATAATAATGTAGAGCTGAAAAAAATGTTTCAGCTGGGTAAAGATGCATATTGTGGTGGCAGAATACAGTAGTAGAAAATGAAATGGAGGGATATCAAGACATCTGGAAAAGCAATTTCATCCATCTGGACCTCATCTGAAAATGTTAAGTTTTAGAGAAGAATCTCAGGAGGTTTCAGTTCTATAAATGTTTCAGTCAAAATGGAATTTCTAATAAAAAAAGAGACAAGGGATTAACTCATTTTCCTATGAACAAACAAAAATAAAGAAAAAGGAAGCAGATAAATACATCACAATCACTCAGCTCACTAGAACAAAACCAAAAAATGAAGGTAAAATGACCATTTATACAGAGTGCTGGAATAGCAAAATATTAAAAAATGATCAAATTTAGTGGGCATGATGATATAGGCAGAAATGGGGAGGAAAAACCTGCCTTATATGTACTTTTGCAATATGCCCATATTTTGGCATACATTTTTACTAACAGAACTTAGCAAAATAAAAGGATTCCATGACTTCTCCATTAACTGTGATAGATTGTTTCCTATTTGAGCCTGGGGTTGAAGGTAAACTTAACAGATCAAAACAAAATATAGACCTAAGTATGTCAGCAGTGCTAAGAATTTGAGCATGAATGTCATGTAAGAGCAAACCCAAGCAAGTCGGTTATTAGAGGGCAACAAGTATTGTATCACTCTAAACTCTGCCTAGTAAGTATGTGATTGGCTCACATTTTTTAGACTTGTGGTCATTTTGAAAAAAATTTAACTGTAAATTTTTTTTTTTTTTTTGAGATGGAGTTTCACTCTTGTTGACCAGGCTGGAGTGCAACGGGGGATCTCGGGCTCACTGCAACCTTCGCCTCCCGGGTTCAAGTGATTCTCCTGACTCAGCCTCCCGAGTAGCTGGGATTACAGGCCCGGCCACCACACTCGGCTAATTTTGTATTTTTAGTAAAGACGGGCTTTCATCATGTTGGCCAGGCTAGTCTCGAACTCCTGACCTCAGGTGATCCACCCGCCTCGGCCTTCCAAAGTGTTGGGATTACAGGCGTGACCCACGGTGCCCGGCCTAACTGTAAATTATGAGGACCAAGCATTCCTTATTTTCTCTTTCCTCAGTTTAACTTATTTAAGGCATTACTGCAGACTAAGCCTAAAAGTAATTTATTTTCAAATGATGCGACTTACTCTCTGGCCTAGATTTCAAAGATGTCAGTATAATGTGGATTGTATATAATTGTTTAAATTTTACAAATAACATACGCCTATTATAGAAATTTTGGAAAATACAGAAAAGTGCAAAGAAACAGGAAAAAAAAATTCCTCCATCCGGTCAACAGAGTTACCATTATTCACTTTTTAGTTCCGCTCTATATTATACTTCTACAGTCGCTACACTACTCTAATATCCTGACTTAGTCACCTTTTACATCACGAGTATTTCCTTGGGTCATTAAATATCTGGCACTTTTAAAGTGTTTACGGGGTATCTTATTTTGTAGTAATGCTATATGTCCTGGTTTTTACAACAGTAAGAGAAAAAGCTACAGCCTATTACAAAACACTTCCTATATCAATGCGCAAAAGAGAAAGGTGGACATAGAAAAGGGGAAAAGTAACGTGAGAATCAGCAATAGAGAAAAAATAAGTGAGAATCGCTTAATTAGAGGCAAGATAATAGGGCTAAGTCACATTATTGATTCTTGACTTTAGGACAAAAGGGGTACATGTTACGCACCTGTGTTCCAAGTTTATAATTGCACCTTGAATAGCGATTTATTTAATTAAACTCGCGGTTTTACAACCTAAGCAAATACTGCTAATTCTCCCCCGACTCAATCCCCCTTGAGGCCGCCTTTTAAATGCTCCGACTCCCTTCAGAGAAACCCTCGAGGTAAAAAGAAAAACCTGTCTGGCAATCCAGACCTGCAGTCGCCACTATAACCAGAGTAGCAGGCAGGTGTGTGCTAACTAAAGCCACGGCCAACAGAGCAAAGATACGCCTACAGCGCAGGCTCGGAATCCCCTAGCTCTAGGGCCGCGCATGCGCCAATGTAGCTTCGCGCTCGGGTGGCTGAGTCCGTCACAGGACAGATGATCAGGGTGCGTCCGCCTTTTCCTTCCCCCTTCTATCCTCCTCCCCTTTCCCCTCCCCTTGTCCCTCCTTCTTCTCCCTCCTCCCTCTCTCCCTCCCTCTGGCGTCTCCAGCCGACTTACGCTTCCTGTCCGCGGCCTTTGGCGGAAGAGTGTCCCGCCTCTTCCGCTCCACAGCGGAGGCGGCTGTGGCGGTGGCCCTGGTGGCGGCGGCGGCGGCAGCGGCGCTCGAGCGGTTCCTGTCAGGGTCAGCCGGCGGGCCCCCTGGGTGGTCCACCTGCAAGTGGCGGAGCGGTGCCCCGGGGATCGATGGCGATGAACTATAACGCGAAGGATGAAGTGGACGGTGGGCCCCCTTGTGCTCCGGGGGGCACCGCGAAGACTCGGAGACCGGATAACACGGCCTTCAAACAGCAACGGCTGCCAGCTTGGCAGCCCATCCTTACGGCTGGCACGGTGCTACCTATTTTCTTCATCATCGGCCTCATCTTCATTCCCATTGGCATTGGCATCTTTGTCACCTCCAACAACATCCGCGAGATCGAGGTGAGGGGAGGGAGCTGTGGTGGGAGTTGGCGTTGCTCGGGAGGACGGTCCTACGCGCCCGCCCCACTCCTTTCCCAGCGCCCTGAAGCCAGTTGACAGGCAGACCCCGCGCCGCCCCCCACCCCCTTCCCTCTGTTTTTTCTTTCTCTTTCTGCGGGTTTCCTGAATTTGCAGCTTTGTCCTAGCTTTGTCTTGCGATTTACGAAAGAGCAAATCGACGGGATGAGCTGAGACGGAATGAATGTTTAATGCAGAAGATGGGTCAGGTGGAGAACGCTTCTTCAGTAGGCGGTTTGTGTGGTTCCATGGGGGATTAGCGGGGGTTGTTCACGGAGGTAAAAAGAGAAGTGGGGGCGGGGGCAATTGTAGCTAGGTAGATGCAACCCTGAGTGAATTGACAGGGTCAAAAGTGTCATTACCTTTGTGGGCGTTATCCGAAGACACAGAGATGAACACCTTGGCCATTGTTGGGAAAAGAACCAGAGTCGTAGAGGTATTGACGATTCTAATGTAAAGAAGCTGTCGCATGTTATCAGGTCACGTATGAGGACTTACGACAAATGTGCATAGTACTTTTCATTTTGAGCTAATTCGATATTTTCAGTTGTGGGGCAAGATACACAGGAAAGATAACCTGAAACTTCAATTCTGGTTTTGCTTTTAGGCTACGTTTATTAATGGGCCCTACATTTGCTGGTCTTTTTTTTTTTTTTTTTTTTTTTTTTTTTTTTTTTTTACAAAAAGAGCCAGTGACCACATTCAGGGAGTAAGTTGTCCACTGTCTACCAAACATTTTACTGATACTAACTTTGCTGAATATGTAAGACATGACAGGAAAACTTGGGGAAACATTTCTTTGTCAGAAGCACAGTATCTTTATCTGTAGGGGTGAAGATGGTTGATAGTACACTGTATTAATATATGCTGTATAGGTGTCCAGTATTAAGCATCTCTCATCTTTTCTTGCATATCTGAGAATGTTGTTGTTTTCTAAATCTATTTGAAAGGGCAGGAACTAGTAAGAAGTTCTCTTGATTCCTTCTGTTCTATTTATACACACACACACACATTTTAATAAATATACTTACCTATGTGATTTAATGGGACTTTGAGAGTAATTTTATTTTTAACTACTGAAATAGGGATGGGGTTCCACTTTAATTTGCAGTGTTATCTCTAAAAGCAAGATTCATGTGTTTTGTAATTCTACAGTGCTTACTTCAGTGTTGACGACAGTAATGAGAATAGTATCTATAGCATAACTAGTTTTAAAATTTTTAACTAAAAATTTATTCTCAATTTAATAACTAAAGAGTTACAGTATTTTTTTCAGCATGTATTTTAGTTTTATCACCTTAATCTCCCTAATAATCCTGCAAATGTAGTACTTCTTGTTCTAACCATACTAGGATCACACATTATATTAGTATATGGGCAAAGTGGTGTCATGCAAGGAACATGGGCATTGGCTGGGGTCAGGCAGAGCTGGTTTTAAATTCTAGCTCAGCTACTAACCATCTCAGTTTCTTGGAAAATTTCCTTAATCTCTCTGAGCTTCAGTTTCCTGCAAAATAGGTAGAATAATTCATATCTTCTAAGGTGTGAGAATTAGAAGCAATGTAAATAAGATGTCTGGCAGTAGGGATCTGTCTCCTGATCCTTAATCAGGAGATGAGAAAGAGAGAGTTTGAGATTTGACAGTAAACTAGTTAAGAGTATTATAAAAAATGAGACAGAAACTCAGGTGTCTTGATTCCCAGCTTTAAGCTTTCACCCTACACTAAGATCCTTACTGCAATGTTAATAAAGTAGAAGAAAATAATTTAACATCTGAAATTTGAATGATTTTATTTAAACTTCTTAAGATAAGATGAAAATAGCAATAATTTGGAATTGTGTATAAGTTAGTATTTTCAGAGCTCAACTTCCATTAATATTTACCATAGTAGAAAAATAAATGTTTAACTTTTCTTAAAATCTTTGGGTTTTGGAGTAAAATAAGGTTCCTCACACTAAGTAGTAGACAAAATAGAAATTTTTCAAATAGCTCTCATGTGTAATTCTGATTTCAAGTTGCCTGAAGAATCTGCTGCAGCTTAGCCTGGTTAAAAGGGCACTGAAGAGTCAGGGAATTAGGGTTGAAATCCCACCTCTGTCACTCTGTACTTTGTGATCTTAGGTATAATTTTGAGTCCAGTTTCTTTACTTGAAGAACCAAAAGATTCAGATTAAACTGCCTCTAAGAGGCTGTTCAACTCTAAAATTCTATGATATCCAATTCAAATGTGATTTTTAAAAAACTGGATGTGTTTAAATTGTATTGCCTTTGGAGCAAGAGGAAATGAAAACTAAGAATAATTTAGAATTTTTTACTGACAATGAACATACAGTTGTGCAGACAGAATCCACATATGTATTTTTAAAGTTTGGATGCTGGATATATAGAGAAATGCTTCTGAATTGTGTCTGGAGTTATTAGAAAAACCTACGGAGATTCCCCAAACACACATACTTGTTTCCTTCTTGTTCTCTACTCTGTTAGCCACTAGTTGTAATTGGGTAATGAGAAGTTCTTACCAACATTCACTCTCATACTGTAAGTTACTCACACTTTATTTTTTATTTGAGAAAATCTTCATTGCTATATTAGTTCAAATTACTAGGGCAAAGGAGACTTGTCAAATCCAAATGCTTTTGTAATATAGTTTAAAGTGCCAAAATCAAAAATTCAAACTTTTTCAAGTATAAAATCACTGGATTTTTCTCATTCCTGCAGAAATATTGCACTAAAAATTACTACTTTTGAAAAGTGTCTTGGATACCCCTGGAAAAAGATATTTTCACATTTTAATGCTTACATTTGGTAGCAGATTTCCTCTACTTGTTAGATTTATGTATCTTATTTAGTTGGTTTTTAGATTTTCAATAATCTAAATAAAATGAGGCTAATAGAAAATCATAATTCATCATTCATGAGAAAATATTTTAAATATTTAATATCTTCATTTATTATTAGGAGCAAGGAATGAGGATTTCCTTTAATTTGGCAGTTGTGAGTCAGGCACATCTTTCAAAGGCATTAATTTTCTAGTCTAGGGCCCTTGTTGGTGAGACTGAGATGCAGAGGTTACTTGAAAAATAGTGAGGTTATTCTTAACTTTTGTAAAAGTATTTATCAGTGTGAAGTTACATAGTTTTAAATTTATGGTTAAAGTCAGATTAGGTTGTTATTCAGATTAAATTTAAAAACTAAACATTTACTTCGTGTTGCCAAAAGCATTCAAGGTACATTTTCATGAAACCTTAGTGAATTAACTCCCCATTCCCCACGTTTAATAAACTCAACTTTCTTCTTCACCTTATTATTTTATTTATTGCCCTCGATTATTTAATCCTGATTATTTGCTGTTGTCCTAGTTTCTGATAAAAATTCTTATGTATGTTTTTACTCCTAAATTGAATTATTAGAAGATTTTTAAGGAGATTAAATTTCTCATCTGTATTTAGTAATGTTTGTTATACTTAGCCTTTAGCTAAGAGTCAGGGAAGAATAAGTTTCTTTGTATAAATGATTGTTAAAGATTAGGCACTTTTATTTTAAAAAGTTTGAAGCTTTAATATTCAAGTTGATTTTAGTTACTTAGAAGCCAACTTTTGGAAATTAAGGTTTGTGGTGTTAGTGTTTTAACTTGTTTCTCAAGTAATGTTAGTACTAAGAGCAAGGAATGTGAAAGTAAATATGGCCAGCTGGAATATTTTACATGGCCCAGGAGCATTTTACAGATGAACATTTGTAATCGATTTGATGATAGGAGAGCACTAACTTTGAATCTCAATTACGAGAAATGTTTCCTCCAAAATTTCCATTCTTCGCATTAGTATTAGTAGACATATGTTACCAAAAAATTGTACATATTATTGATGCATTTTGAATTTTATCAATAAAAATTGTTGCAAATTTGTTTTCTCTCTTGTTGCATAAGAACCTACATACCTAATATCCTGGTCCATGCTTCTGGGTCCGCAAAGCCTGATGTATTTACTTTCTGGCCTCTTACAGAAAAAAATTGCCTGCCCCTGACTTGGAGTTTTAATAAATCATACCACCAAAGTTAGCATTTGCTACACAAATAGCTGTGTTTAATTTACGTGTTCTAGTCCTCAAAAATTGTTCAAGGTAGGTGTAATGATCCCTGGCAATTGCTTAGGTTCTGTCTTTGTACAGATTTAGTAGATATAAAATTTACCATTAATCTTGGCTTAGGAACATCATTCTTCATTTCTTTGTCACAGATAAAAATCAGGCAGCCTAAAGAAAGTTGCTTTAGAAAGTTTTATTTTAGTTACCTTTTGTGTTCATTAAGGTCTCTCAAAAAGACTTCAGATAAATTTTTTAGTGTGGAATAATCAGTTCAAGGGGGAGTACTTAAAATACGATTTTTAACTTAATTTGACTAATACTTAAAATGATGTACCTTATTACTCAGCATTTTGTTGAATGACCTTTTCAGGTCTTATATTGATTTCTTTTTCGACAAATTTACATTCAAAATGGAAGTTTTCCAGTCCTTTTCCTAGATAGTGTGAAAAATGCACATCCTTCAAATTCTTCCTTTCCCACTGCATTAAATTCTGAGTCTGTTTCTTAGGAATAGGATGTATTTTTAGAATTACCAAGAAGAAATGCCAGTTTGATTTGGGTGAACAATTACAGTGATAGCAAAACAAAGCTGAGAAATGTGATACCTCCTATCCGCTCATCTACATCTGTTCTATTTTGCCTCTGGTTCTTTGTCTTGGATTTTAGCTAATGGGCAAGTCTCCAGATTATCATTGTATTTTGCACTGTGCCTTGTATGCTCTTGACATTAGTAAGCATTAATTTTTCAAAATGAGGGAACTGTAGCTCCTCTTCCACTTGGTAGCCTCTTTTGTTTCTAAAGATAGGAACTATGTGCTTTAGTGTGAACTTTATTTTTTAATAAAGTTGTTACAACTCA